TAACCAGCACATTGAAACCAAACGGACTTTCTGGTCAGTAGATTCTCGCTTTAACCACTGAGCGGTTTCGCCCCCGTCTTATCTCGCCATCTGTCCTCTGCGATGGGAGTTTGGAAGTAATGCGGCATTTCCACCGCGACCAGCATGCCCATATATATGGGGGCAACGTCGATGTTCTCCAGGAGAAAGAACGGTCATAAAAGGTGGACCCCAAAACCACACACTCCGATCGCACACGCCAGACCGTGGCAGCCGGTGAATTTCCCAATACAGCCGAACCATAATTAAACCCTGCCATGAGTCAGATGTGGCTTCGAACATATATGCTGTGCATGTAGTGTCGCCAGGTTGCCTTGCGCGCTGCATACAGCAAGACGGTAAGCGAAAATAGGCTACTTGCTGTCAGCCGTGCAGATAGCTATAAACAAGTCCTTTAATCAGTGCCGCTGAGGCGCACACAGCAGGATGCCTTCCGGGCGATCATGTGTGGCATGATGTGAACGATCAAAACCACAGGCTTCTCGAGGAGATCACTTCTCATCTATATTAGGCTGCCAACAGCAGGTGATGGACAAGGATACAGGTGAATTGGCTTGATACAACTTAGTGGTTAATGTTCCAGCTTACGGACCGGAAGGTACCAGGTTTCGCAGCCATGTGATAAGCTGCTATCATGGTCGCTTTGTGATCTAAATGAAATTCATGTTTAATGCCAGAAACGACACAGATTTACGGATACTGCTCGATTTTGCATCTTGTTATTTCACCTGATGGAGGACAGTCACTGCCTATGCAGGTGAGTATACCTATAAACATATCCGTACGGCAGTGAAGCACCAGTGTCAACACTGATGTTGCTGTCTTTGATGTTGATGATGGGGGGCGAGATGGCCCAAGTGGTTAGAGCGCGAATTTACTAACCGGAAGGTCCGTGGTTCGAATCCGACCTCCGCCACTCGACTTCCCCTGTCTAGGCATGGGCAACCTGGTAGTATTCCAGCCCTCGTGCTTCCTTCGGGTAGCATGGCAGCTAGGCACCGGAAGGGTGCTACAGCTGAACGCTTTTTTTGATGATGATAAACATACCCACCCTCTTCTTCCTGAAGTTTCAAACGGACGCAAGGGACTGGGAACTTCTGAAGTATGAATTTGCAGTTTGAGAATGTGGAACGCATGAAACGATGCTGTTCAAATAAAACCCAAACACCCACCACCTTTATTCACATTCATGAACTCCAGATAGAGCTTATCTGGCTGTACGACCCGATGGTGTATTAAGGCAGAACTGAGCGTTGGAGATTCAGAAACCGAGAAGTTGTTTTAACTCACAGACCATGGCTGAACGAAATTTATGGCTACAGAGGCAAATGACCAAGTGAACTTTTAAAAATATTCTCTCCATCGGTTTGTTTGGCGTCACATTTCTAATGGTGTCGTTGATACCTCCATTTACAACCGGTTTAAGGGTCCTATTTCGTATGTGGGGTGTAACAGTTCCTGAACATTTCCAGCCATGATAGGTGCTTCCACTTCTGTTAGCTTTTGATTCCATCAGGTTTCATTATCACGATTCCTCGCGTTGAGCTGCAACGATGACCATTCTGATTCCAGTGCATAATCGTCTAGTTTTAACACCCCTTTGGTGCTTATCTGTCATGCCATCCGGAGGAAGCACGAGGAATGAAATACTGCTCAGCTACCCAATCTTGACAGGAGCAGTTAAGATGCCGAGGTTGGGACCTTCTCCGCCTACTTGTAGAAACGCCGGGGGCTGAAACAACCCCGAGGTGCCCGTTCAAGGACAAGGAGTACGTAGACAGTACTATTCTTGGTGCAACTCCTTTAGAAATGGAAACTACTGTTGCACAGCTCAGTATGAGATTCACACCTGCAAACTGTTAGCTGCTACGGCGGACTCAAACCTCGATTCATTAGTGGTTAATGGCACTCTAGACATGGCCCATTTTTCAGCTCGAGTGGAGAACTAGGATGGTAAAACACCGATTGTCGATCAATTCATCACCTTTTATGCATAGATGTACCTTTCATTGGCTCCCGTTTTTGGTGACCGAAAATGTTGCGACTGAAACCAAAATAATGTAGGTTAGTTCATAGTTGATACAATGTATTAAGCTGTACAGAGTCGACTTTACAGATACAGTAAGAACAAGATATGCAACCCACTGCAGTAGTCATGCACTCGATGTTGTTCGACGGGCTTAGTTGTTGCATCTGGACCTTGTATTTGATTCCCAAAAAGGCAGCCGCTCTCTGTCACTAGTTCAAGAGTGTGTGAAAGAGCAGTTTACTGGCCTATTTGTCTTCAAGATTTTGTACGTTGTGCGATGAAGTCAATAGAATGATGTTTCTAGCAGTGGATGTAAAGCAGCAAATACTAACTGCGACATTCGTTCGCATTCCTGACTATCTGGCTGATATATCTAAAACGCGGATCTGCAGACGGATGATTATTAAGTAGGACAAGTAAGGACTTGGAAGGTACTGGTAAAGAAAGATGGGAGGCGTCAACAGTTGCATGTCTTAGTTTATCCCCCCTGGTGTAGTCAACAAACGGTGGCCAAACTGGAATGAAGATACTTCCATGTGCTTTGTTGTTGTTTATGGGCTAAGATACTGTCATGACATCTAAGCATACACAGTAGGTTAATTAGGTTCCCATACCCGAAGCTTTATCCCAAGAGCCGGAACACAAGATGGCAGTGATTAGCGTAACTTTCAGGGAACAAGTTGGTTGTCAGGTTTCTGTCGGTTGACAAACCAGTTGCGCACCACTTCATAACTAGAACCCTGGCTTAGTGTTGATAGTTCGTCCAAGAAATCAGATTTTTGATTTCCGGCTGTGAATTTTGAGCACCTTAACCTTGGAAGGATCGGTGTTAGAAGTGGCCTTAAAACGACACCTTACATCATTATGACTCTCCGTAACGCTTCGACAGACAGTCCGAGCTTTGCTGTTGGACGCATGGAAATTCTTTCGGTTGCGTCTACTCATGTGTATTATTCTTGCGACAGATTTCTCGCAAAGGACTCAACAGGTAATGGATGTGTTCGTTACTTCTTCACTTCACTGTTTACCCCTCATTGATCGCGCTGCTAGTCAATGGAGAGAGCACTGCTCTGTAGCTGGACCTTCACCGAGGAAATTCACAGTAGCGTCTGTTGCACTTACAAACATTACCTTAAGTTTCTACCCTACATACATCTCTTAATCGTGTGTCTTATTCAACTACCGAACTACCAGTAAGTTCATCGATGTGCTGCTTAATCATGATTTTATCGAACTTCATGCAATGGCTCAAGTGCTACTTGGTAGGAATCGAGACCCACTTTGTGCGCGTGTGATTTCGGCCGCTGTCACTGAATTTCCACCCCTATCAGACACTTCCGTTTATCGGACCTTACTTACAAAGTCTTGACATCTTTCGAACAGCGATAACTTAGTACATTCTGGAAGTGAAAAGTTCTTGCGTGCCGGCAAAGACTCTTTTCCAAACTGAGAGCACAGACATTGGCAGCCGCCCATGACCGACTTAAAAAGCGAACGGTCAAACAGCCGGTTGCTACTTTATACGTGGACACTTAACCTCTTTCTAGGGTCAATGAACTCATCCAGGACGATACGCTATTTCCACCAAGCATGGTTTACAGATTACGTGTCATCAAGTAACTGGCGCAAACAGAAAAAGGAAATTTGCGGCCGTTGAAGCGTGTGACGGTCTTTGCCGTACTATACGCATTCAATATAACCAGTGGCGTATTCCTGTTCTGAAAGAGCCATGGAACGCCAGATTAGTTTGAAATAGGTCCACGACGGTGTGAAAGTACGTGGGTAGAATACTGAGGATGAACGCCTTCGCCGGTTTTCCGAGACGGCACACAAAGATGTAATTAGGTTCATTAATGGTGTAGGCTCATTCAACTAGCTCAAGGCACCCTTTTTGGTTTGTAGGATGTCCTTCGGAGTGGTAACAGCCGGTCCTGGGTTGTTTATTGTCTTGTGGTGGCAACCTCCATCGCACGATGCCAAGTGACGATATAGTTTTAAAAACTTCAGTCTTCGGAGGGGATACGTCCTCCTTATAACTTCCCAGGCTGATGAAACGATCTCAAACGAGAATTAAGGCATCTGATTTTGTTGCTGATGATGATAGCGATAGTATACTGAGATTGTAGATGATGGAGGGGCGGAGGAGGAGCATGGTCCACACCCTGTCTAATTTTGTTTGCTAGTTAAACGCTTTGAAAGCCTTGGATCAGCTGTGCAACCGACGGCTGTTGACTGGGATACCATCCACGCGGCTTTCATTCAGTGTACGTACACCTGTTCAATAACTATCGGGAGCTACTTAATCCTGTTTCTATTTAGCATGCAGGCTAGCTAACAATTGCCTTTGTGATAGGTGGTATATTGTGCCATTTTTGAAGTCAGAGTTGCTGCTCCCTCGTTCAAGGTTTGGCTTAGCAAATTAAAGAGTGCGGACTGTTGTATCGTCCATCTGATGTGATATCCATTTGTCACCGGGCGCGTTTTTCGCGCCCGAGAAAGCTGACGTACTCGGCCGTTTTGCAATCCCAGCGAAGCAGGGGAAAAGAAATAATTCGAGATTCTCTTCTTCGAAGACAGTCCTTCTAAACTCTTCATGTATCGACATTTCATGATTGATTTGTGGTTGGTAAGTTAGATGGCATAGATGGATTTACTTTATTGTAGAAGTCGAGTTCGTTCATCTTTGTCTTGCTTTTTACAGATCCTTGTGCGCTCACTTGATGATTTTCCGTTATGGTAAATGTGGGGCGTTTGCCTGACGGTTCTCCGTCTCCCAACACCAACTCCTCTTATCTGTGTGCGGCACCTGATAGAGGGCGTGTTATCTCAGAAAGGCCTACTCGTCCTCGTTCAAATCCCATTCAGATACACAGAGTTTCGGATACCAACGATGTCTCAGTCCGTGTTTTTGACTCTGATCCTGCGACTTTAGGGAGACCATCCAGTACTCCTCCAGGCCAATGGCTGTTGAATCATGCTCCATCAAACGTCCACTTTACTCCATCCGCATCAGGTGACCGGGTCCATAAACTACCCTTGTATCAAGAAGCGGATTACAATGTTTTATTGGATTCTGACATAATCGAGGGCGCACAACCAGTTGGATCTATTTCGAACGGTTTTCTTGCAACCGATTTAGCCAGCCCATCAACCCACATTGATGTATGGATCACTTCGAGTGCTACAGAACGCACAGTTTCATGTGAAAATCTTACTACATGTGTCACGGCTCCGACAGTTCCTTCAGATAGTTCTTTCCTGTTCCCAACTTCGTCTCCGTCACCGTCCATCCCGTGCGCTGCTACTGATAAGGTAAGCTAATCATTTTGTAATACAGTTAACCAACATTTAGTTCGGTATTCGCACAACGCCTATTCGGACCAAACTCAAGCGCCCACATTCTGCAATTTCCGGAGATACCAATCCAATTCAGCTCGAGGAAACAACGGCGCGACCATTTTCCGCACCTAAGCGTTTAGTGGAGGAAGCATGTGACCCCATATCTGAGCTCTTTGTGGACGGATCCACGCTTTCATTCACTACCCTCGACTCAGCCACGTTAGTCGCTGAGGAATCAGATGTAAACGGCGCATATCCACCTAAGTCCACATTGGAAGCATTGGTCGCTTCCAATTCACCCTTACTATTTTTTCCAACGGGATATTCTTTGGACACAGATCAAGACGCAGTCCCTTTATGTGACTTTCTCTCAGCCTCATCGGCGAAATCTCGTCCTTCACCCGTGGATAGCTATGAAGCGGGGGAGAACAATTACACAGTGGATCCGGAGTTGAATAATCCAGACTATATGGTGACAGACGGATCAGATATTTTGAACGGGAATTCGGCAAATTCAGTCTCTTCTTCCAGGTCTCTGGCTTCGGTGGACCTGTGTGAAACGGTTCCTAAGAGCTCTGATTCCCAAGGTAGTCCCAATACCACGTTAAGCGAGTTTGGTGTGTCCTCAAAGACGTATTTGGACGCACCAGGCTCGATTACGACCCATCTGTCTGCTTTTGTGGAAGCCATGCGTAGCTATGCTGCCGAATTATGCCCGGTTGACTGCGTCATTCTTATGGAGCGATGTCGCCCGTTTAACTGTGATACTCTCTTCATGAAATATTTCAGAGAACAGTACCTTTGTCCTATATTGAGGTGAGTTCTGCGCTCGGGATAAGCCTAGCCTATTTTTCAGCTCCAGTAAGGAAAAAAGTATTGGTTGGAAAGCTAGTTAAATTCTCTATTGGTGTTTTTCTACTAGCAATAGATTCATTAATCAGTATTACGCGAGCAACTCAAACATGCAGAGTATTATGAGTATGATCCACAGACCTCGTTTCGCGGTTAACCGGGAGGTTTGACTGTCTGTGGCCTTGCCCGTTTACTTGAGTAGGTAGAGAGTGATCTCTTCGCTTGAGGCGAGATGGCTTAGTGGTTAGAGCACGGATTTGCTGACCGGAAAGTCCGTCCTTCGAACCCTGCATCTCGACTTTTCCTGTCCAGGCTTGAGCAACCTGGTAGTGTTCGAGCCCTCATGCTTCCTTCGGGTGGCATGGCATCTAGGCACCGAAAGGATGCTACAGCTGAACGATTCGATTATTATTGGCCTTATATTTGGGCGCTACACCACATGGCCTTGCGAATAAGCTCAAATTTCGCGTCAATTGTCGGGGGGGGGGGGTGTTTTCCACCTGGTTGTTGAAATGTTTTCTGTCGGCCGTGGGGGATGTGGAATCAGCTACCATACCAAATACTAGTTGGATTCGTGAGCGCGTGAACTTCTCACCTAGGTCTATCCTGTGGAAAGTAAATCCCTATCTAGCTGTAACATTGTCGCGGTACTGATGTTGTTCATTGGTTCAGTCAAGACTATTTCTGTCTTGTGAGAGTTGATCAGAGCCATACGGAATGGGAGATCTTTTCACAGTATCGCTTAACTGCTTTGTGTAAGCTGGCACTGATGTTTCATGAAAAGCAATTAGGTAAGGAATGTTGAATAACGATGACTTCCTTCTCTTAACTAACAAAAATCTTTCTGAAGGTAGCAAACCTGAAGGCTCCCAGTCGACCAGCCACACCCCATATAAAACGATGAGATAAGTGATCCCAAATGGAATTTCTCGCTGGTGGGTGGCGGATACTATGAATACTGTGATCGAGAGCATACGGAATTTCCAATCGTCAAACTAAAGCTTTAAGTCTGTTGTTTGGACGTTGGGTTGATGAATGGCGCGATTCACTACTCAGCGAACTGCCGGAATGATGGCACCGGTTTTGCGCGTTTGACCGCAATTCAAACAGCGTTATAACTTGTTGTGGAAAAGTAATTCGACATTCCGGACGAACATGTTCCCATCATCGTGCATTATTGTTCTGCTTACACATATCCACCGGATCATAATAAGCGTACGTTGTACACAGATGCTTGTAACATCTATCGGGATCCGTCTGAGCATCCACAGAAGGGCATCTATACAGAAGATTACACAATCGGCCTTTGGATTCGGAACCATGTTTCTTATTGCTAGTTGGTAAAAAAAAGTCGAGAAATGGTCAGGCAATATCCGAAAACACGTTCATACACAAGTCAGGGTGATTTCGCAGAGTTACGAGTGGTAAATTCTCTGATCCCGCTCTTTCTCATAAAGAAATTTCATTTCGTTCTGGTACAGTTGCTTTTTTATTTGTACCACTATGCTGTGCCTCCTAGTACCCAGTGAATGATAGCCATCTGGGTTGCATTGTTTTTGGGCCTTATAAGTTCTCTGATGCTTTCGGCCATAAAAAGCGAACAAAACGCAGGCCATCTGCTCTCCTTATCTGAGTGCTCCTAAACAGATGGTCATCATCAACAGATATCGACCAATTCATGTTCGTCGTCCGAACATATCTTGGCATTTTGAGATGTTCTCGCTGCGTACGCGCGTCTTACTATATTAAATCATCTGTGGATTTTTGCGGGGATAGAATTAATTATGGAAAATCCGAAGGTGTTCGCTGATTTCCCGGTGATTGTCGGAAATTCCGTGCGGCCGCCGATCACTTGTTTGGAATAAACATTGCCAAATCAGGATTTGCTTCTAGAACCTACAAAAATGCAATTTTTTAGACGTTTTACTGTACTTTCTTTGCTACCCCGGGTAAACTGGCGTTCTGGTAATCGCGACCGCGTCTGTATCACCTGTCATCCAGCCGTGTTCAGCTTAAAGTCAAGCTGAGTGGAATGTTGTTATCATGTCTCTGTTCATCTGTTTGTCAGCCATATACAAATATGTGAAGTGAGCAGTACACATGTTTGCTCATTGTAAATACCGCTTGCTAATGGTTTGGAAGTTGTTACCAACAGGCAGAAAATCAGATTCGGTTTAGCTATTTGATGTTATTTTAAATATTGCCTCATTTTGACTATATGGGCCCGATCCGCGCATATTACACGAAAGAAATGGGCCGTTTTGGTAATTCAGCCAGAGCAAGTGAATCAATCATCTTTACATTAGATGGCAACGAGGTCCCAACGACTTGTACAGTATGTAAATTCTTCAATCAACGGGAGATAATCCCGAACTATAAGGCCTTATAACGACCTGTCCTTCGGTATCTCGACTCATTTAGGTGATGACGCCATCCAATCTGTTCAGATCTCCCAGCTCGATTCACGCCATTTCATGCTTTGCAAAGCAGATCTGTAGATTGTGCTTTATCCAATCTGTTAGAGGTCTCGCTACTATATGGCTTCGTGTGAAAACGTTCGGTTAGGTGGCTCGGCGTGAAATCCACGGTAATTTTGGGGTTGGGATAATCTCGTGAAACATATGACGGACTTATTTTCGTATGCTTCAAGGCCCATTATTTGAACGTGTAAGTTGTCTAACCTGACGGTCTGAGCGGATCGTCACTGAGCTGTTCAACCGGATTTGCGTGGAACGCATGTGCTCAAGAATGATCATCATCATCATCATCAACGACAGCATGACATCAGTGCTCAACACCAATGCTTCACTGCCGTACAGCCATGACTTATTTGAAAGCCTTATTGTA